AGAGCTGCGCGCGATGCAGGTGCTTCGAATCCATCCGGCTGATCGTCAGGAACTAATGTGCAGTGACTGCAGAGCGGCGCGATACTGCAATGAGGCCTGCCAGCTCTCGGATTTCAGGGCGCGCCACAAGCATGAATGCGTCAATTTTGTGCATCTGCCTATCGCCATCGCGTTCCTCTCGAAACCCGACCTTAGCGACAAATTTCCCCGCCATCCACTGTTTGCCCATGGGCACGAGAATGGTGTCGGCTGCTGGGTGACGATAGAAGGGCGTATCGATTGCTCGTATGTCAATCGCAGCATTGTTCCTGCGCAATTCTAAGGCCAGAACCCTACAGCTTGCAGTCTCTGACAGACAGCCTGGATCCTACCGCGGTGAGGCAACATCACATACGAATGATGACCGAGGGAGACACCACCAATCGCCAGACCGTACAAACTTGCGGGCGCAGCTTGCTGAGCCTCCGCGTCCTCGTGCAGAACCGTCGCAAGGAGAAGATGCCTATACTCCTGTTTGCCTCGCGAGCCCAGGCACTGATACTCCCATCCTCCACCTCTGCCGTGCTGCGGGGTACGGCCGAAGGAGACAACATCGTGCAGTTTATGCTCGACAGGTGAGTGCAAGCAGGGCTTTGATTTGTTCGCACACTCATTGGCATATGTGGTAAAGTGTTCCCCGAGCGACGGTGGGGGTCGCCAATGACCCTTGGGACAGCGTCCCGCGTCTGGCTATCTCGCAATTCAACACCGTTGAGGTAATTCGCTGAACCCTTTGTGACTGGTCGCTCTTGAACCTCAATATTGCTTCAGATCATGATGGACACGCCTCTCCCCAAAAACATTGTGGACGCCCCAAACGGCACGATACTCCTCGGCACAGGTGACTTTGTCGTCTTGCACCTACAATTCCGCGTCGGCGACGACAACACCATCGTCAAAGACTGGGAAGCCCTCGGCACCCTGGAAGCCATCACGCTCCCTTGGGCGCCGTGGGATGGCATCACTGCCTATGCCGACGTTGCCGCCTCCCTCCGCAGCGTGCAATCCCCCTTGGCCGACAAGAGCGGCCCTGCGGATGCCGGACTACTACGCGTGCCCTTCGATCAGCACGCGGTGCACAGTTACTTTGCCGATTTCATCGAGCACGGCGAAGACGCGTACATCCGAAGCCACTTTGGGGACGCCCGTGGGGATATGGTACGCGGAACGGATGCTGCCATGAACTCGATGGCCCTGGAGGTGCTCCGCAGAATTGAGCAAGCCGGTAACTTGGATATACTGGTGGAGCGCCTGAGGGAGACCGGCATGGGTGAGCTCGCGGACCAGCTTGAGTAGTCCCTGTGATGGCTTGCTTGCAACACTTGTAGATGTATTACGACCGGCGTGACTGAAAAAGGCATTCACAGAGGCACTAAGCCCAAGTGGGGCTCGGACAAGATAAAGTTGGTCGTCTGGACCCGGGTCGGACTCGAGGGGGATTCGAGGATGCGGACGGGCCATTTGTCGGGCTCGGAGGGCACAAGGGGACAATCAGGGTGTGGTATGATTGAATGCTGGTATGTTTTCTGCACGCTGGTTCTGACGAGTGCACTGGGCGATCTGGTCGCCATCTGAGGAACGAGCGGCAGGGGCGCGCTGCCGGTTCTGGCCGGACCGCAGTGTGTGCTTGGCATGCGGCGGTAATCTTGATGGGGTGACAATCCACTGATAGCATTCCGACGTATGCGTCATAAACGGTTGCAGCCCCCCGTAAGTATTCTTGGGTACACATCTATGCGGCAACTATCATGGTCGCGGCTGAACGGCGCCTATTGGGCGTGCGCGTAGCGGTCACCCGCTACGGTGACGCCGCCGACTTACTGGTCACCAACCGGCACACGATTGCAAGCAGCAGCTTACTATTGGGATAAGAACGAGAGACTACACTACAACGATAAGGGTGTTAATGATCGACTAAGTGCCAGTATGTAAAGTAGAACTTGCAAGCTGAACGATATGTACGTTACACTTAATATATGTCAGGGCAACATGGACACTTCACATACGTCCACGCGCCTACAAAGATGTCGTGAATGTCATGGCCACGCTCTCGCAGCCACGCATAAAAGTTCTCAGAGGCGCAGGAGAACGCAAGGCAGTCCACATTAACTGTAGGGTATCCTAGTCAGGCCGAAATGCCTTGATGAGTTCGTGTGCAGCAGGAAGCTATGCCAATGGCATGCACTCCTCGTGTTTCCAGCGTTCACAAATGACGCACCACCGGGTCGTCTCCGTGGAAGGCGACTATGCCTGCCTCCCGGTTGGAGCGCGACAACCTGGGACGCACATTGGCGCGAAAAGCTTACACACCGGTGTAAAAGGTGAGAAGGATGGGAGGCCGATCTACTAACAGAGGTACGGAGCCCGCAACGACCTTGGACTAGATCGCGGCAAGTTGTAGCATGGACACAACTCCAACTGATCAAACAATGACATATTGTTTCATGCGGGAGCCACTCATGCGCAATGACCACCTTCCAGTGTGCCCTGAGACGCGACTTGATTTGTCCAATCTTCCACTCCCAGAAGACCACGTTGCCCTCGCTGTCTCCCCTGCTGATTCACTTTCCCTCGGGAGAGAAGTCCACTTGGCACGCGTACCCTGCGACAGAGTGGCTGGCGAAACACTTGTTGCCGACCTAGCGGAAGTTGTCCGTGCGGTAAACCAGGATCTGGTTGTCCATACTCTGCGCAGCAGAATACTTCTCTGTGCAGGCGGCCGGATGTCAGCCCTGTCACTTCGAGGAATAGCTATGGGATAAAACTCACTGCTCGGGTGCAGAGTGACGGCCGGCATCGAGTGCATGTGTGGGTCTGCCAGATAGTTGATGACAACGGGGATGTCAAAGTCCCATGCCCGGATGGTCTTGTCGACTGACGTGTTGACAAACCGCCTATCTCGTCCATGAGGGCGATCGAGTTTACGGGCCCGAGATTGCTGGTCGTCTGCTTGCGTGATTGACCGCAGTTCATTTCGTACTGACATATGGTGAGTGTATTGCCACAAACACAGCGGCAAGATAGGAATTGACCTGGATGATCTTCTTGTCGAACATGCCCGCAAGGAAGGTGTGTTGCTTGTCCTCGTCAGGATGGAACCTCACCACATATGGCACTTGCCGTTACTGAAGCGTTGCAGACACTGACCGGTCTCTGTGTCGCAGAGCTTCATCTGGTGGTAATAGTCGCACAACACACCGTTGAATGGTAGTTGTCGGCACCCAACTGTTGCAGGCATTGACCGGTCTCTGTGTCGCAGAGTGTCATTTGCCAATCAGATACACAACACACGATTGCATGGTAGCAGCCGCGCAACGGGTGCCCGCACCATGACAACTGTACACCTGGCGGGTGACCGCTACACACCCGCTGTACACCTGGCGGGTGACCGCCACACACTCGGTGCCGGCATGGATGAAGCTTCCCGCATTCTATCTGCAAATGGTAGTTGTCGACACCCAACCGTTGTAAACGGTAGTTGTC